CCCCTCCTTCCCTCATCATTCCCAGTGTAATCTGGCCAATGAGGGAGCTTCATCCATCAGATGGCATCTCTTAATCCCCCTCCTTCCCTCATCATTCCCAGTGTAATCTGGCCAATGAGGGAGCTTCATCCATCAGATGGCATCTCTTAATCCCCCCCCCCTTCCCTCATCATTCTCAGTGTAATCTGGCCAATGAGAGAGCTTCATTTGTCAGATGGCATCTCTTAATCCCCACTCCATTCCCTCATCATTCCCAGTGTAATCTGGCCAATGAGGGAGCTTCATCCGTCAGATGGCATCTCTTAATCCCCCCCCATTCCCTCATCATTCCCAGTGTAATCTGGCCAATAAGAGAGCTTCATCCATCAGATGTCATCTCTTAATCCCCCTCCTTCCCTCATCATTCTCCGTGTAATCTGGCCAATAAGAGAGCTTCATCCATCAGATGGCATCTCTTAATCCCCCTCCTTCCCTCATCATTCTCAGCGTAATCTGGCCAATGAGAGAGCTTCATCTGTCAGATGGCATCTCTTAATCCCCTCCCCTCTTAATCCATCAGTAGTTATAAAATAGTTTAATATTAATATCTGTATATGTGTATTTTTTATGTAATGTGTGGTTTTAAATGGCGTCTACCCACAAATTTGGTTTTCTCAGCACCACTTCTGCTGCTACTACTACTAATAATATTACTACTACTAATAATAATACTAATAACCATTTCGTAGATTACAGAGTAATGCAGACCAGATGGAGGTGATATGACAGTGAGTTTTATAAGGGTCTGCTGACATTACCAATAGCACTTGAATCACCTCTCTGTTGCCGTGTTTCACTGGGGCCAAAGGCCCGTGGCTGGGGCCGCCCAATGTCTTTGTAGCGCTGGAGCTCTGTTGGGTTCATTTGTCAGGAAAAGTCCCGATTTTTTTTGTGAGACCTGTCAATCCCGTCAGCCTACTAAATTTTTCATTCCAGGGAACCAAACCGTTTCAAAAGTTTATCAATCAATTATATTGACCAGATGTCTGAAATGGTAAAAACAGACGCGCAGCCATGCCCATGGATGCCTGTGTCATAGCTCCAT